GTCGATTTTTCGTTTATTTGAATTTACTGCCATGAATACTGTCAGGGCGACGTCATAGATCAATCATACTGATATTCCTTACCTCAATTCCTTACTGCTTGTACTATAAAAATTCAATATTGACAGTTGTGTGCAACGTTTCTTCGGAGCTGACATGGCTGACGTGTCAATCTGAAATACTTGAAGGTAACATTTGACCCGCTGTGCTGGGTGCATGCGTCTTACCTGTACGCGTCCAAGTGTCAACGCGCTCAGTAATAAATATAAACAAAGTACACACAACTGGCTTACCATGTTTTATTTCAAATATTGTACAAACTAAATACATGGTTGCTCGAAACTTTTCTATTTTAAGGTTTGTAAATAAAAAAAAATCCCAAATTCAGAGGGGCAGCTCGATTCGAAATATCAAATTTAAGATATATAGTTTAGTTTATAGTAATATAGCTGGAATATAACCATGTCAGGAATATGATTATGATGATTGTTTAAGATTAAAATGATTGACATTTGTCTGATCGTCAAATGAGTACTTGTCCATATTGAGAGATATTGCTCTGGAACAGCATTAATCAACACAAAATCAGCCATTTTGAATACATGTATATATCTATAACATGATTTATAATGAATATGTGAAATTTGAACATAATCAGTCAAAGCATGGAGGAGATATGGCTCTTGAAGCACATTCATTAAAACAAAATTGGCTATTTTGAATACATCTATAACATAATGTATAATGAATATATAACATTTGAACATAATCAGTCAAGCATGGAGGAGATATGGCACTAGAACCACATTCACTAAAACAAAATGGCCACCAGTCAGCCATTTGAAATCCGATCTGAAAAATAAAATGCCGTACATCAGGAACCCATAATGTCTAATGTATGTACCAAGTTTGAACAAAATCCATCCATAAATCCCAGAAATGCTTGATATTTGATGAGTTTTTAGAACAAAAGTAGTCACAATTCGGCCATTTTGAATAGAATCGTCAAACCAATATATCTGTATATCTATGACATGATGTATAATGAATATTTAAAATTTGAACATAAACAGTCAAAGCAAGTCAGAGATATGCCAGAGATTTGCATCAAGATCCTATAATGTCCAATGTATATACTAAGTTTGAACAAAATCCATCTGTAAACAGCCGAAAAATGCTTGGTTTTGATGATTTTTCAGTACAAAAAAGGCCGCCATTTGGCCATCTTGAATTAGATTGTGAAACGAATTGATGTGCCTATGTATAATATCATGTATGATGTATGTGTGAAGTTTGATTGTGATTGGTCCACGCATTTCTAAGATAAAGGCACGCAGGGAGGTCAAAACATAACTGCGTCCAAACAGGGACTAATAAAAATGAAAGTATCAGATGTGTCATGCCATGTTTTTTGGTTCACTCGCCATTTCTTTCTTTATCAACACAAGAATAGTTACACAACACAGACAAAGAGCATTTGGTTCTAGAATGGTAACATATACTTTGCAATTAGGGGTGTTCTAAATAGGATGCGCTAATTACCAAATGAGTAGTATATGTGTGTGTAATATTAGAACCCCCTTCCTCCTTGAAGTTTTTGGTTTTAGAATCGCTGAGGGCTTGTAGCTAAGATTCTATAGCTGAAACTCCTTGGTGTCTTGTGTTTCCTATTACATAACCCACCTGTATTGTAACCTATCTGTATAGTAGCCCACCTGTATTGTAACCTATCTGTATAGTAGCCCACCTGTATTGTAACCTATCTGTATAGTAGCCCACCTGTATTGTAACCTATCTGTATAGTAGCCCACCTGTATTGTAACCTATCTGTATAGTAGCCCACCTGTATTGTAACCTATCTGTATAGTAGCCCACCTGTATTGTAACCTATCTGTATAGTAGCCCACCTGTATTGTAACCTATCTGTATAGTAGCCCACCTGTATTTTAGTCTATCTGTATAGTAGCCCACCTGTATTGTAACCTATCTGTATAGTAGCCCACCTGTATTGTAACCTATCTGTATAGTAGCCCACCATTATTTTAACCCACCTGTATAATGTTTAGCCAAGAATCCAGTCCTTGAGACGGAAGCATCAGAATGAAGGGTTATATACATTTTGTTACTGCTGGCTGTCACTGTCTGTGGATTATGATTTCCACAATATCTTCCTAAAATACGATTCTCTTCTGAATCTCCGTCATAAATCATGACATGGTCATATGCACACTCTTGGTGCTGCTCTAAGTCAAATTCATCAAATTCCTGCAAAATAGAGAAATATAGTGAAACTAAAAAAGACTTGCTCATAATGAAAAAAACGAAATTACTTTACCAGCACACCATTACAGCAATGTTCTAATTACAGCAACATAATTATGAAAATATTCCGGACATAATGCATCAAAATATGATATGTCAGCATTTCCCAAAAACTACAACATCCTTTACTTACCAGTTCCAATCGATGACCAGCTGCTCCAATAATCAACCATGTACAGTCTTTCTTTTTAGGATAATTATCTGGCCAGTTTGGACTGGTTATTTCGCCTTCAGCAAGCCTTATTGTATGTGTACAATCCGCTGTTAATATTATAATTACAATATTATATGTATATCAGCAATAATGTGTAATCCATTACAACACTGTATTGGGTTTTTTAATGATCATAAAATATTTTGTAACAAATGTTTTGATGTTCTATAAGTGAATGATTGAAAAGCATCTGAAAATGTTCTACTAGTATTTACATGCAAATACAGTGATTACAGTGTTTTAGGCATGTACCATTTATGACCATGATCTGAAATGTTCATAGAATAATACAGCTGAGAATTCTATCTCACAAATAAATAGTTATTTTGATTAACAATCACTCAAACAAGTCTTCTACATCCTTAATACTAACTTCTACATGTCTAGGTGAGGTGAGCACATCACAGTGCCGCTGTTGTATGTCACAGTACCGCTGTTGTATGTCACAGTATCACCATTGTATGTCACATTACCGCCGTTGTATGTCACAGTGTTGTTGCTGTATGTCACAGTGTCATCGCTGTATGTCACATTACCGCCGTTGTATGTCACAGTACTGCCGTTGTATGTCATAGTGTCGTCCCTGTGTGTCAGTGTCGCCGTTGTATGTCACAGTACCACCGGTTTATGTCCCAGTACCACCGGTGTATGTCCCAGTAATGCCGGTGTATGTCCCAGTAACGCCGGTGTATGTCCCAGTACTGCTGGTGTATGTCACAGTTGTATGTCCCAGTACCGCTGGTGTATGTCCCAGTTGTATGTCACAGTTGTATGTCACAGTTGTATGTCCCAGTACCGCTGGTGTATGTCCCAGTTGTATGTCACAGTTGTATGTCCCAGTACCGCTGGTGTATGTCCTAGTACCGCCGTTTATGTCACAGTTGTATGTCACAGTGCTGTCGTTGTATGTCACAGTATCGCTGTTGTATGTCACAGTACCACCATTGTATATCACAGTGCTGTCGTTGTATGTCACAGTGCCATCGCTGTATGTCACAGTGCCGCCATTGTATGTACCAGTACCGCCGGTGTATGTCCCAGTACCGCCGGTGTATGTCACAGTTGTATGTCCCAGTACCGCCGGTGTATGTCACAGTTGTATGTCTCAGTACCGCCGGTGTATGTCCCAGTACTGCCAGTGTATGTCACAGTTGTATGTCTCAGTACTGCTGGTGTATGTCCCAGTACCGCCGGTGTATGTCACAGTGCTGTCGTTGTATGCCACAGTGCCACCATTGTATGTCACAGTGCCGTCGTTGTGTGGTTGGGTGTCACAATAGAAGACAGTACTGCTGTATGTCCCAGTACTGCTGGTGTATGTCACAGTTGTATGTCCCAGTACCGCTGGTGTATGCCCCAATACCGCCGTTTATGTCACAGTTGTATGTCACAGTGCTGTCGTTGTATGTCACAGTATCGCTGTTGTATGTCACATTACCACCATTGTATATCACAGTTCTGTCGTTGTATGTCACAGTGCCATCGCTGTATGTCACAGTGCCGCCGTTGTATGTCCCAGTACCGCCGGTGTATGTCCCAGTACCGCCGGTGTATGTCCCAGTACCGCCGGTGTATGTCACAGTTGTATGTCTCAGTACCGCTGGTGTATGTCCCAGTACCGCCGGTGTATGTCACAGTTGTATGTCTCAGTACCGCCGGTGTATGTCCCAGTACCGCCGGTGTATGTCACAGTTGTATGTCTCAGTACCGCTGGTGTATGTCCCAGTACCACCGGTGTATGTCACAGTTGTATGTCTCAGTACCGCCGTTTATATCACAGTTGTATGTCACAGTGCCACCACTGTATGTCACAGTGCGTCACTGTATAACATCGTGCCATCGTTGTATGTCACAGTGCCGCCGTTGTATGTCACAGTGCCGTCGTTGTATGTCATTGTGTGGTTGTGTGTCACAATAGAAGACAGGATTCGTATTATAACAAATCTGGTAGTGTATATATACTACGCAGTTACGGGACAGAGTGACAGCGAGACAGTATTCTACAGCAAAGAATACTCTATATTCGGGAATATGACATGCGTCATAGAGCGTCAGGTAGAAACAACTAAAGAATTACATTAAATCACAGTTTATATAGACAGCCAAGGATTCACACCATGTAAATAAACTCCGGCTGTATTTACTTTCGAAGCGTGTTCACTCTTACGTTAGTATCAATAACCTTGAAGAATTAAATGGCGTGAAACTGTCACGGTTGTGTTAGTTTGCCATAGGGATACATGTAATTTCAAAGGAATACATCAATACTGTGACTCAAAGTGAAAATAAAACGAATCAATAACGAATAATTAATATGAATAAAGTGTTCCCAATACGTTGTATGTCACAGTGCCGCCGTTGTATGTCACAGTGCCGTCGTTGTATGTCACAGTGCCGCCGTTGTATGTCACAGTGCCGCCGTTGTATGTCACAGTGCCGCCATTGTATGTCACAGTGCCGCCGTTGTATGTCACAGTGCCGCCGTTGTATGTCACAGTGCCGCCATTATATGTCACAGGCCGTCGTTGTATGTCACAGGCCATCGTTGTATGTCACAGTGCCGTCGTTGTATGTCACAGTGCCGTCGTTGTATGTCACAGTGCCGTCGTTGTATGTCACAGTGCCGTCGTTGTATGTCACAGTGCCGTCGTTGTATGTCACAGTGCCGTCATTGTATGTCACAGTGCCGCAGTTGTATGTCACAGTGCCGCCGTTGTATGTCACAGTGCCGCCGTTGTATGTCACAGTGCCGCCGTTGTATGTCACAGTGCCGTTGTTGTATGTCACAGTGCCGTCGTTGCATGTCACAGTGCCGCCATTGTATGTCACAGTGCCGCCGTTATATATGTCACAGTGCCGCCGTTGTATGTCACAGTGCCGCCGTTGTATGCCACGGTGACAAGTGAATGCACACCAATTCAATTGGCTGACATTTCATGACATCGATGTGCTTCTGAAAATATAGCTCATCCACTAATACATGTGAATTGGTCACACAACGTTGTCATGCGAATTAAGCACACAACATCACTAAATTTACAGGCCATTACAAACTGTATCTGTAATTAAAAATAATCTGATCGTAAGCTTGTATATATCAATTATGGTAAGTTGAACTATGTGACTGGTATTAGTCAAACAATCACATATCGAACGCTTAGAAAGAACTCCTGCGTGCTGAGAATATTGGAGACATATTAAAAATTAATTAGCCTTCCAAACAAGATGCTTGGCGACTAATATTTGTCTGCTATTTGAGATGCACAATGGGAAAACACTGTTATTCACATTATTAAAATTTATACTAGTATTACTTACCCCTACCACAAGTTTAATTTAAATCTGATTTTTTGAGATATCAGAAATAGGCTATTAATAATTACATAATCAATATGCATGTTTTTTATTATTATACCAATCATGTCCATGAATTAGCCCCAGAGCATCTATGAACCAAATTCAATAAAATGTGTTAAGCGCATTTTGCAAATTCGGCAATTAGTATGCATGAATTTCAATCCAAAACTAAAGCATTGTTCCATATACCAAGTTTTATTGAAATGCAATAAGTGGTTTTTAAAAAAAGAATGGGGTAATTATTATGCAATTTAAGCAATTATTACACATATATTTAACTCCAAACTAATTAGGTCTGTGTATTTTTCTAAGACGCACATACCTAGTAACATTATAATGCCATGAGTAATTCTTAAAAACAAAATGGAATGGAAAGCCGAAAAAGTAAATTATTATGCAAATTAGGTAATTATTATGGACGTATATGAATCCAAAATTACATTATTGCATTGTCTTAGAGTATTTATGTACCAAAATTCCTTGAAATAAGATGATACTCAAGATATTGATTGAAATCAGGTAATTTTTACTAAGCACAGGTTTTAATGTAAAACTGGAAAGGTCTGCACAATGTCAACTCCCAATGTGTACTTCACACAAGAATCAAAAATCGATAATTTTGAGATGAATCACATGGTGTACTTACATTCTTTACAACTATGTCCATTTTCATGTAACATGTAACCATTTCTGCATGAACAGTTGTAACTACCAATAGTATTTGTACAAACGTGGCCACATCCACCATTATCATTCTCACATTCATCCACATCTGTAAAAAGAAACATGAGTTACATCACATCTACTTATGAGACCTAGCTACAGAGAGAACCAGTTACAGAGAAACCAATTAAGCTACAGTGCGCATAGGTTACAGTGAGAACCAGCTAAAAGCAACAGCGAGAACCAGCTACAGTTAGACCAAGCTACAGTTAGACCAAGCTACAGTTAGACCAAGCTACAGTTAGACCAAGCTACAATTAGACCAAGCTACAATTAGACCAAGCTACAATTAGACCAAGCTACAATTAGACCAAGCTACAGTGAGACCAAGCTACAGTGAGACCAAGCTACAGTGAGACCAAGCTACAGTTAGACCAAGCTACAGTTAGACCAAGCTACAGAGAGACCAAGCTACAGAGAGACCAAGCTACAGTTAGACCAAGCTACAGTTAGACCAAGCTACAGTTAGACCAAGCTGCAGTTAGACCAAGCTACAGAGTGACCAAGCTACAGTTAGACCAAGCTACAGAGAGACCAAGCTACAGTTAGACCAAGCTACAGTTAGACCAAGCTACAGAGAGACAAAGCTACAGAGAGACCAAACTACAGTTAGACCAAGCTACAGTTAGACCAAGCTACAGAGAGACCAAGCTACAGAGAGACCAAGCTACAGTTAGACCAAACTACAGTTAGACCAAACTACAGTTAGACCAAGCTACAGAGAGACCAAGCTACAGTTAAACCAAGCTACAGTCAGACCAAGCCACAGAGAGACCAAGCTACAGTGACCAAGCTACAGTTAGACCAAGCTACAGAGAGACCAAGCTACAATTAGACCAAGCTACAGAGAGACCAAGCTACAGAGTGACCAAGCTACAGAGTGACCAAGCTACAGTTAGACCAAGCTACAGAGTGACCAAGCTACAGAGTGACCTAGCTACAGAGAGACCAAGCTACAGTCAGACCAAGCTACAGTTAGACCAAGCTACAGAGTGACCAAGCTACAGAGAGACCAAGCTACAGAGAGACCAAGCTACAGTCAGACCAAGCTACAGTTAGACCAAGCTACAGAGTGACCAAGCTACAGAGTGACCAAGCTACAGTGACCAAGCTACAGAGAGACCATGCTACAGAGAGACCAAGCTACAGTTAGACCAAGCTACAGAGAGACCATGCTACAGAGAGACCAAGCTACAGTTAGACCAAACTACAGAGAGACCAAGCTACAGTTAGACCAAACTACAGTTAGACCAAGCTACAGTTAGACCAAGCTACAGTTAGACCAAGCTACACTTAGACCAAGCTACAGAGAGACCAAGCTACAGAGAGACCAAGCTACAGAGTGACCAAGCTACAGTGACCAAGCTACAGAGAGACCATGCTACAGAGAGACCAAGCTACAGTTAGACCAAGCTACAGAGAGACCAT